GAATAACACTTTAACACCATGTTCTTAAAGAGTACGTAAATAATTTAATGATGTCCTTTCTTTARTKGTCAGAGTGCAWTTACAAGAGATYTWGAAGTAGMTTGGTCCATATTTGTACACTGCGTGAAGTCGAGTTCTTCTGTTCAGGAGGCCTGGTACATATGGTCCTCCATCAGTGGTTTGGCCTGAATGAGTGTGGTGGTTTAATGTGGAGAAAAAGGGGTATGTTGCTCACTTGCTTGTCCTGCTTGTCTGATGCAGATATTCTTATGTTTTCTTCTGTCTCATCTAGTTTCTTTTAAGAAAAATAACTAAAATAATAACATTAAAATGATTGATGTGGGCTTCCTGTGAAAGCTGTGTCACTACAAGGGGAAATTACAGGGAGGAAGGGGGAGTGAATAGGTCTACGGATTGGTGGGTTTCGCAAATGATTTAGTCCCGATTTCGGATTCAGAGTAAAATTTAAACGGATTGGCGCATCCTGCAAATGCGGCGGATTTCGGTTTTATCCATTTCTTTACGGATCGACGGATTGTGGCATTATCAACAATTACCTTATGATACTAATGTTTTACCTTCCTTTAATTGAGTACACTGTCACTGCTATATTCTCGCCTGTCTTCATAGTGTTTTAACTTTCTATGAGTAACTATTGTCATCACACACCCAGAGTTGTTTGGGGTAAAAATCGCTTTACCCCCGAATGATATTTGAATTTAACTCAAAATATTAGGTTGAATATTTTGGCTGAAGCGTATTATAGGTGATCGTTTAACACCTTCCTTGAAGTTAAACCTGCTTTACCCAAAATGAAAGGGTAAAGGTTGTCAGCTGTTTTGGGTGAGTTTCACCTATAGTTAAGTAACATTTACCCTTCATTTTATCATCTCTTTATATTTTATTTGAGGTATTAGATACCTTTGGCATCCCCTCTTCCCCGAGAAGGTTCATCGACATTAACACATTTTGAATTAATTTTCAAAATTTGCCTTGAAGACTTCACTTCTCCTTGGCTACCAATATCCCACCTAATTACAAATTAGTTCTTACTTGTTACGTGAAATACCATTTTCTAACTTTTAACCAATCAATTCTTACTCACCGCTCGGTGCAGACCAAGATGTTGTAGACGCCATTGTTGTTGTATCGGTGGACATTGTAGGTATTTCTGTAGGCGTAGTTAAAGCTATTGATATAAGAACAAGAACACACTCAGATTATTTTTAACAATTATTCGTCGAAAGCGAAGTGAATATCGGACTGAGCCACTTAGTTCTCTGGGAACCACTGCAAAATCGAGCTTCTCGTGGAATGGAGGTGAAAAGCTAACTAGTATTACTTCCGCTGTGGCAAACTTTGGGAAATTAACATCATAATCACTGCTCTAGCAGTTATTATCGTCTTAGAGTCATTTTCTAACAGGATATTCGGCAAATTTTATTCACCCCTTGGTGTAGTTGTAGCTAGGGATATAAGACCAAGAATATAGGTTATACAAACAGATAGTGAAAATGGAGTGAGCAATAGCCAAAACAAATTCGTCCCTGTTCAAAAAGAATACTTTGTACTCGAGCTCCGACCATCAAACCCATAAGTTCGTATCTTTACTCACCTTGTGGTATGGACACACGGTATTCTGCTCTGAATCCAGAGCTGTTGTTTGATTCATCCGAACTAAAGACGAACAGTACGTCACTGTCAGCTGACAACGAAAACGGTACCGTTGAATGAAGGGGAATCGTATGCCA